AAATGGGGTTGGAGCAGCAGCAGAAAAGGAGCAGCAGGGGAGGGAGAAGTGATTTCGAAGTATTTGTAACTTAACAAAAATGGTTTCTATTTATTTGAAGTGAAAGAAACAGCGCCGGTGCCCTTGAGATCTGGTTAAAAGCACCTTAAGAAAAAGCATTTCGAGGCGTTTTCACACATTTCGGATATTTAAATGGGAATATTTAAATGAGAAATATAAACCTGAGGATCCCCGTTCGAGGCGTTTTCACACATTTCGGATATTTAAATGAGGAATATAAACCTGAGGATCCCCGTTCGAGGCGTTTTCACACATTTCGGATATTTAAATGGGAATATTTAAACCGGAATTGAAACCTGAGGATCCCCGTTTCCCCCGGGGGCAGTTCGGGACCGCTTTTTTCCCCGGTTAAATCCTCACCCCGGGGGCTGTGCTGGGCTTTACCTTGAACTCCTGAGCCGCTTCCTCGGCGGGCAGGACGCGGTGGAACCGGTGCAGGCGGGACCGGGCGCACACGAGGCACAGCAGCTCCCGCTCCTCCCGGCAGAAAAGCTGCAGCGGCTCCCGGTGCCGCCCGCACAGAGTCCCCGGGACCGGGGCCAGCAGCCCCCGGGCGATGTCAGCGACGTGTCCCAGCTCCCGGTTGGGTCTGAGGCTCCGCTCCGGGGTTGTTTCCCGGCACCGCGGGCACGGGAAGCTCTCCCGGGAGCTCTCCCAGCAGCGCTCGATGCAGCCCCGGCAGAAGTTGTGGCCGCACGGGATGGACACGGGCTCCTGGAACAGCTCCAGGCACACGGGACACGAGGCCTCGGCGCGGAGCCGCTCGGCTGGGCTGGGGACGGCCATGGAGGAGCACGAGGAGGAGGAGGAGGGTGTGCTTCCTCCCCTTGGGTGCTGGGTGTTTGCGAGGAGGAGCAGGAGGATGCGTTTCCTCGCTGTTGGGTGTGGGATGGTTGGGAGTTGTTGCCTGGGAGGGATGGAGAGGAGCGGGGAAAGGGAGAGGAGGGGGTTCTTCCTCCTCTCCTCCTCCTCGTTTCCTCCTCTCTTCCTCTCCTCTTCCCTACTTCTTCCTCACCTCTTCCTCGTTTCTTCCTCCTTCTCCTCGCCTCGTCCTCCTCACCACTTCCTCCTCCTCTTCTTCCTCTTGTTTTTTCCTTCTTGCTTCCTCCTCCTCCTCGGAGCCTCTGAGGGAGCAGATGTGGGGGTGCTGATAAGGCCAGAGCCAGGGCGGGGCTGAAGCAGCGACTGAGAAGAAATCACGTGAAATTGGAGYGGGGAAAACGCAAAACAGAGGGGCAAATGGGGGAGTGAGGGGGGGAGAAAGGGTTGGGATTAAAATATTTAGCCAGAAAAGTGATGGAGGAAATGTTGTTTGGAGAAGGAAGGGAGGAAAGAAGTGTTGAATTTAAAAACACATAAAGAAAAATGATGGGAGAAGGGTTAAGATGTGCCGAAAGTGTGGGAATGAGGGGGGGAAAGGGCGAAAAGGAGAAGAAAAAGGACGGAAAGGAGAAGAAAAAGGAAGGAAGTGTTTCTGCCCGGTTTCGAACCGGGGACCTTTCGCGTGTGAGGCGAACGTGATAACCACTACACTACAGAAACGCTGTGCGGCGATCCCCGCCCCACCGCAATAGGACAGCGGCCACCTCGCCGCTCCCGCGTTCCGCGGGGTCCCCGGGGCTTCGCGGCCGCGCCGGGGGCGGGAGGGTGGGAGGGAGAACGGCAGAAAAAAAGACATTTCGGGTGAAAAAATGTGTGCGAGCGCCCAGGGCTGGGCTCGAACCGGCGAATTTGGGGTTCGGAGTCCCCCGCGCTGTCCTCTGAGCTACGCGGGAGGGGGCGGTGCCCTGCAAAGCCACGCCCCCTCCCTTCCGGCCCCGCCCCTCGTGGCTGGCGCGGGCTCKGGTCCTCCAAGAGCAACGAGTTGCGCGGATAGACAAACCCCAGGGAGGAAGTGGGGGGGTGCGCCACCTCCCCCGTTGCTCGGCAACMGCAGCCACTTCCGGTCACGTTGCGCAGAAGGGGCGGGGCTTGCACCGGAAGGCGGAAGTGCCGCGGCGTTTCCCGTCCGTGGCGGAGCCGCTGCCGGGCGAGCGCGGCCGAGGGGCCCCGGCGGGGACCGGGCAGGGACGGGCAGGGACCGGGCGGGACCGGGCGGGCACCGAGCGGCTCCTCCGGTAGCGGCCGCGGCCGTGAGGGCGCGGGGAGGCACGGGCAGGGGCGCGG